AAAATCCGTAATTTAATCGTCGATTAAATTCGTCTCAAAATCCGTTACCCGATTTGGAGAAGAATTCGATCGACTTTTATAAAGTTCTCCGCCATTTTGAAATTTGAAAAACTGACATTGGACTCTAAATCATCGACTTCAGTATTTCTTGATCACTGATTTTAGTACGTTTAGTGGTTATATCTAAATTTATTGTTTCAATTTTTGCAACAAATGTTGAAGGAATGATAAAAATTAAAAAAATAGTTTCGTCCACTAAATCTAGTGTATAATTGTCATATTTAATCAAATCGAGGTCCACAAGGGCTAAAAATTTTCGTAATGTTAGACTCTCAATAAAAAAATTAAAACCTAAAAATTTTTTACTGTTTAATGTGAAAAAAGTACAAGTTACTTAAGTGTCTAAAAAATAAAAATCATCAAAATTTTCATAAAATTTTATTTTTAATCGACTGTAACACTCTTAATTTTGATTGAATCTTAAACTATGACATATGGATCGAAAGGTAATTTAATTATTTTTACAATGACACCCTATTCATTATATTTTGACATTTATATTTATGTTAAAAATGAAAAAACACTACATTTTTAGCGTTTTTATGGTTCAAAGGCTCTGAACCACGGGTTAATATTAAAATTTTTTATTTTCAAATATTGTGTTCTTATTTTTACACAATTTGAAAGAATTTTAGGGGATGAGACCCAATAAAAAAAATTTTTTATTTTTTTGGGACACCCTAATACTTATGTCCAGGAGTCAGCTCGGAAAGCGGCTTCGTAGGTAGAAAAGCGTCCATGCGACCAATGCTATTGATTTTGGTTAGGTCCATCTTTTCTTATAGATAATACTTTGTAATGGCACAAAACAGAATGAGCTTTACAGCTCAAGGTGCCTCTAATTATACCTGAATATCACGCATTACTCCCACCATTAATTCTGCACATGCGCATTACCCCCACTTTTATTTATTGAGCCACGCCTACTTAGTGACGTCACAAGACAAGCTCATACTAGTTTTAACATGTTTTTTAGTTTTACGCATGTGTATTAAAGATAATAGGATAGGAAAGGGTTAATTAATGTAAACATTCATATTCCATTTAATACATTTATTCATTAAATAGAAAATTTTCACAATCATTATAAAAATCTTTTAATGTACAATCTTTATCAACTTCATCATTATTTTCCATATTATTTCGTAATACATTCGATGGTTGTATCAACCAATTTCGTAGATTATATACATTTTTAACAGCACAATTGCTAAAGCTATGTGTGTGGTTTGTGCATGTGGATAAACTATCTACATCTAAACTTTTTAGCGACGGACATTTAAAATCATCTAAATTAAATACATTTTTAATGTATATTTTTCTAACCACTTTTGTTTTTCTAAACCTTTTACATAAACAGTAGGTGTACCTATTAATGCTTCTTTTATTATAGGTTCCAATTCTTCATAAGCAATGTCACCATCAGCCCAATAAATGCCATGATAATTATTTGTAAGCCATCGATTCTCACATTTGTATGTTGCAGGTAATAGGCTCCAGGCATATGGCGGCTCGGAGAGGTAGACCATTGGATGAGCACCTTGTTGAAGTGGTAGAATCGCCAACTCTTTGATGACAAACTCGTTGTATGGTCTCTTGAAGCACTCCAAATACCCCCACTACCGATGTCGTCTATGATTGGTCATTATTTCCACCAATCACGTTACTTTTTTAACAACGCCGCTGATTGGTGTATACTGTATAATGCGGTTGTGAATTATGATGCAATATGCAGCTATATTGGCTGGAAAATTTTCACTTGCTTCAAATTCCAATCGCACATCTACAGATGCTTGTTTTAGAAATTTGTTTTGCTTTGAGCAATCAATAACAGACAATGGTGCATAATCTTTAAAGTTATTTCTAGTTAATAAATGTTCAAATTCATTTCTATAGTAGGACGGTTGAAAATTACAATACATTTCACATAGTATGGAAATTTTGTTTTGAGTAAAATTTAAATTTAAATTTTCATAAGGATCGTACTGTGAGTTTAAGAAAAGTTTAACATTAATAAGATTACAGGCATCAAATAAATTTGCATATCTTCCTTGATCTTCTTTTCGATTTGTTTGAAAACCAAGAATAACATATCGAGGTTTGTCAACTTGTGTTGAAGTTTTTACAGTCCACACATGCTTTTGAGTGGCAGGAATCATAGGATACTCATACAAATCCCATGATCAAAAATTGATTTTTATAAGTGAGTCTTTTTCAATGCATTTCAACAATTCAATTTTTTTTTCGATCATTTACTATTAAATATGAAATTAACCATTCAACTTTATAATAATTCTAAATTCTTTACGCTCAGCTGCTTCAATGTTTACTACAGCATTTAGATCAGTACTAGATCTTGTTAAAATAATTTCATGTTTTGCATTTACAACAATCTTTCGATAGTCTTCAGCAAAACCAATAATCATACTTAGTGGAATATTTACATCAAAATATCCAGCATCATTTGTTACTCTACTATCATCATCATAAGGTAGATAATCAGCATTTTCAGAGTAAATCATTTGATTAGGTGTTTAAGAAATTATATTTTTCATTGTGGTTGTAATACCAACATTTTTAGAGCGATAAATTTCAACACCATTTAATTCATAACGAATCTCATTAAACAGGTAGGAAATACCATTGCTAATTAACTTTGTATTAGTTACAAGCGTATTGTTTGGCTTAACAATTCTGTCAGTGACGTGTAAAGTACTTTTAGAGGGAAGAATGTACAAATCTTGGTGTTGAACTGCGATTCGAATCTCGTCACTGTTATTAAATGCTGATGACACGTACGGTTAATGTGCATGAATCTCATAGTGTGCCACAGAATTATCAAATTTAACTGAACTTAGAATGTTTAAAATTTCTTCCATTTTTGTTACAACAACAAATAAAAAGTATGTAAAAAATCAATTTTTTCTCTTGTTTTCTTGATAAACTCTTAGGCCGAGCTGATTCAGAAATAGTATGTTTTGAGATGTTAGTCTCTTGCGAACTGATTGAGGAATGAATGAATTTCTGATTAAGCGAGTTACAGTGTACGGAGTTGGATGGGTGACCCTCTGTGAATATCGCTACAGTCTCGGTTTTTTCGCTGATCGAGATATATCAGACGGGAGGTTTGACGCCCGAGGCTTGGTTTGTGCATTTGTGATGGCTATCCAAATGTACATTCATGACTCGACGTCAATAAACCGGTTGTACTCGTGAAGTAGGTTTTCTGCAGTTTTCCTCTCCCCTGGACAAATGTCCAGGCGAATGCGAGTACTCCTAACCTAAGTCGGCTGCAGCCGCCAAAGTAGGGACCCCAAAGAGTTTGTGAGTTAGGAAAGTTTAGTAGTGATGTTGAGGAGATTGTAAAGACCCGAAAGGGTAAACAGTGAAACATACTTTACTTTAAAAAATATTATTTAAATATATAATATTTAAATGAAAAATATTTTTTATTTTAAAATAAAAAAATATTTTTTAATTCAATTTCCTTTATTATTAAATTATATTCTTTATTAATTATTTCTTACTTTCTTTAAACACTTAAGAAATAATAGAGAACTATATATTATATCAATAATGAAAGTTTTAAATAATAGATAGATTGTTAGATTGTTATTATCTTTTACATTCAAAATAAATTATTTAATATTGTGTTGTTAATAATATAAAAATATATAAAAATAATTAATAAAATTTGTAGAATTCGATTATTTACATTTTTATAAAAAAACTTTAATGACCAAAAATTCCGGAAATATTTTTTAATTTTAAATAAGAAAAAATTTAAATTATTATATATATATATTTATACAAGTTTAAGTTTATATATTATTATTATTGAAGAAAATAAAAAACATATTTTTTAATTAAAAAAATAATAGATTTATTTTTAAGGCTTTTACAATCTTTCTATTAAGTTTTAAAATAGAAAAAATAATAATGTGATGAAAGTTATATAATTTTTGTATTTTACTTAAAGTTAGTAACACACTATTTTTATTTTATTAAAACATTTTGTATTCAGAGAAACACATCTATTAAAGACTGTTTAGTCGTTAATAACACAGCCACACCAAAAAAAAAGTTCTGACCTGGGGGTCTCACTATGTAGACTTTATGTTTTTTGGGTCGCTGAATCCAAATCCGAGGTCCATTTAACCCCATCAGATCAGGATTTTGACATAACCTCAAAAAACCAATATGGCGGACACATTTATGAAAAGTTCATCGGATTCGCTTGAAATTCGTTACTCGGGGGTTTTTGGGGTCGCTGATTACAAATTTAAAGTCTGATTTCAAAAATTCAAAATGGCGGATCCAACATGGCGGACACGTTTTTGAAAAATTCATCGGATTCGCTTGTAATTCGTTACTCTGGGGTTTTTGGGGTCGCTGATTACATATCTGAAGTCAGATTTCAAAAATTCAAAATGGCGGATCTAATATGTCTGTGTCAGCCATATTGGATCCGCCATTTTAAATTTTGAAAAACCGACATCAGATTCGTAATCAGCGACCCCAAAAACCCCAGAGTAACGAATTTCAAGCGAATACGATAAATTTTTTAAAAACGTGCCCGCCAGGTTGGATCCGCCATTTTGAAATCAGACTTTAAATTCGTAATCAGCGACCCCAAAAACCCCCGAGTAACGAATTTCAAGCGAATCCGATGAACTTTTCATAAATGTGTCCGCCATATTGGTTTTTTGAGGTTATGTCAAAATCCTGATCTGATGGGGTTAAATGGACCTCGGATTCGGATTCAGCGACCCAAAAAACATAAAGTCTACATAGTGAGACCCCCAGGTCAGAACTTTTTTTTTGGTGTGTCTGTGTATTAGATGTGTTTCTATCTTTCTTTAAATACAAAATGTTAATAAATAATAATAATGTTACTAACTTTAACTAAAAAAATTTACAGAAATACTTTTTTTCATGTTGTGTGTTTAAAAAATAAATTTTACAAAACCAAGCCATCTAAAGTCCTTAATTCTTCATCAAAAGTTTCAGTTTTGTCAGCGCAATCTGGTTTCTGAACCTAAAAAAGTAAATGAAATTTCTCTAATTATTTTTCTTTATAAAAATTAAAACAAATTTAAATTATTTATATTTTATATTCAAAAAATTGTTAAAAGTTAAATTATTTTTTTAATTAACAATTTTTAATTAACAAACAAATAGAAAAATTAAATAAAAAAATTAAAAATGTTTTTATATTACCTTTAATGGAATCGGTGATTTGTCTTCAGTAGTCTTTCTCCGTTGTCCATTCATTTTTAAATTTTCATCATTCGATTCTGACGATACTGTTAAAAACCCTTTTTCCATTTCAGTGTCGCTTAAAGTTGCCGAGTCCAACATCTTGATTTCATTAGAGTGCTTCGTTTGTAATATAGTTGTTCCATGATTGTTTATTCTCATTCTGCCTTTAACAGAAACGTGTGTTCCGCGAGGATAGTTGAAGTCTGGTTCGCAATATGATATATTTACTGGAAGTCGAAATCGGCCATCTGTTATTGCACCAGCACCGTGGGAAATATTGCCTTGGATAATATTCTCAAATGGGGTTTTTATAAACCCAGAAATCACTGTTAATAAAATAATGAAACATAATATTATTTTTTTTTAAATAAAAAATATATTTGTTGCATTGTATATAACTTTTTAAATTTAAAATAAATAGTCGAATATTATTTTACATATAGAATAAAAATGCTTTCTAAAAAAGATTACATTTATAGAAAAGAATATATACTCCTATTTATTTAAAAATATAGTAGAAAAGATATAAAAATAATTTTTTTTCAAATTAAAAAAAAATCCAATTAAAAAAAAGTTTACATCAGAGAGTTAAAATTAAAAACGTTAAAGAAAATTTAAACTGTATATATATAAAAAAAGCTTTATATTTACAAACATTAAAAAAAATTTGAAATAAAAAAAAATAATTTTTAAACTTACCAACAAATTCTCCAATGAAATTTCCTGCATTTTTAAGCTCTATTGATGGATATTCCGATTCTCTGCTGTCATCAGGTAATGAAAATGGTCCTAAAATATCAACTGTAGTATATTTTTGTACTGAAATTTCTATATCCATTAACTTTTCACTGGCAATAAAATATTGCGGCTTGACCATTGATATTTGTCCTCTAAAGATGCGAATTGCCTGTAATTAAAGGTAAAGTTTAATTTTATTTTAAAAATATATTTTATATATTTCTATTAATATTAATGTAACCAAGAATTAATGAATATTTTATATATTAATTAAATATAAAAAAAATTAGGGGAGACTGGGGCGAAAAGTTAAACTGACAAAACCGTTAAAATTCATTATCTTTCAAACGAAAATAGTTAGAGCATTGCAATTTTAATTATAGAAGGGTGTTATCACCCTAAATAAATGTCCGGAGTTGTGTGCAATTCTGTTTATTTTTGTGGTGTCAATATTAGAAGTTTTTTTTCAACCTACTTTTGAAAATTTGTTCGAAAAAGAAAATATCAACTTTTAAGTATATTTTTTGCATTTTTTCTCACCGCGATTTTTTTACTTCATTATTTGGGTCCCCTGAAGAGATACCTACATGTATTTTCTAAATATCTTTAGTCAGATTTTTTATATTTGTTGTTAAAGCCAAAAACGCACCCTGGGGCGAAAAGTTAAATAATGGGTGGGGCGAAAAGTTAAATGTATTTTTACATGTTGTTAAAAAAATTTTTTTCATTTTTCGTTTTTTTGGGTTTATTGGTTTAAACATTATTTATTTCACATTTGGCAAGTACTCTGTCAAAAAATAAGCCGGTTCACGTGAAATAAACCAAAAATTTTTTTTTTTTTAAAATTTCAATTTTTTAACTTTACAACTATTCTAAAGCTTTTGTCAAATAAACAAAGATCTTTTATTTACTAAATTACTTGTTTACGTATACTTTAACTTATCTACTATTTATCACCTATCAGAAAATAGTTTTAGTAGGCTAAAAATAGAATTTAACTTTTCGCCCCAGCATGGGGCGAAAAGTTAAAAAAACAAAATTTTCAAAAAAGGAGAAAACATGTATTTTTTGCGAAAATATCAGGAACTTTTTTATTGAAAGTTGTAGAGGACAAGTTGCCCTACAATATTGATATACAAATATTTGCATCTAAGCGGCTTATATTGCCAAAAAAATCATTTATGCAAAATTTAACTTTTCGCCCCAGTCTCCCCTACTTTAAAATAATTAATAGAGTCATTCCATTATATTTCGACTAAAGTCGTTCGTTGCTGACTAATTTTAAAAAATTATAATATTTTGCAGGAATGATGTTAAAGATATTAGGATCACCGAACGAAAAGAATTTTTTAAATGTTTTTTATATTTATTGTAAAATAAGCATCTAAAGTATATGAAGTCGTAAAAACTGTCACATTTTCATCTATTAGAAAATATTAAAGAAAACACATAATTTACTATAAAAACGTAAAAAAATTATAAGAATTTATTAAGAATGAATTGTTTTATTATTAGAAATTGATAGAAACAATTATTAATAAGAAATATTAAATAAAAAATTATTTTAAAGTTCACCTGACAAATAACCTAATTTTGCAAATTTCATTCACTAAATGTGAGAAAGAGAAATCATTAAATTTAATAAAGCCTTATGAAATATAAAGTACCTGTGATTAACTTTTAGTTTTTCTTATCATTTTCTTCCTTTTTTCTTCATAAATGTTAAAAAATAAGCAATTAAAATTGTCACTTTGCTTATTTTCACGATTTTAAAATGTAAATAACTTCTGCCCAGAAAAATAAAAAATTACGAAAATTGGGCAATAATTATTTGATCACTAGATACACTCACTGGAAAAAGATTTTCTTTGGTCCCGAAGCTATTTTTCAAAATAATTAATTTTAAACTTTTCACTATTTCTATCAGGTTAATACATGTGATTTTATTAAAACTGAAGTTGGTTCAAAACGATTTAACAAGAAGAGCTAACTTCGTCTTTTAAAAAACACATGTATTAACCTGATAAAAATAGTAAAAAGTTAAAAGTTAATTAATTCGGAAAATAGCTTCGGGACCAAAGAAAATCTTTTTCCAGTGAGTGTATCTAGTGATCAATTAATTATTGCCCAATTTTCGTAATTTTTCATTTTTCTGCGCGAAGTTATTTACATTTTAAAATCGTGGAAATAAGCAAAGTGCCAGTTTTAATTGCTTATTTTTTAATATTTATGAAAAAAAAGGAAGAAAGTGATAAGAAAAACTAAAAGTTAATCACAGGTACTTTATATTTCGAATAAGGTTTTATTCAATTTAATGATTTCTCTTTCTCACATTTAGTGAATGAAATTTGCAAAATTAGGTTATTTGGCAGGTGAACTTTAAAATAATTTTTTATTTAATATTTCTTATTAATAATTGTTTCTATCAATTTATAATAATAAAACAATTCATTCTTAATAAATTCTAAAAATTTTTTTTACGTTTTTATAGTAAATTATGTGTTTTTTAAAATATTTTCTAATAGATGAAAAAGTGACAGTTTTTACGACTTTATATACTTTAGATGCTTATTTTACAATAAATATAAAAAATATTTAAAAAATTCTTTTTGTTCGGTGAGCCTAATATCTTTAATATCATTCCTGCAAAATATTATTTTTTAAAATTAGTCAGCAACGACTTTAGTCGAAATATAATGAAATGACTCAATAATATATATTATATACATATAATTTTATTTTTATATAATAATATAATATTGATTTATTTACTTAAGTAGTAAACGGGACTGTGCCCTTTCGTACGAAGTACTCTTAATACTAATTTTATTGCACTAAGCAAAATTACTAAATATTATCAAAAATGAAAAAATATTATTGTTATACGTATAACAATATATACTCATAAATTTTATATTAATTAATTAATACTAGCGTCATATTCCTCGCTCGCTAACGCTCGCTCGGAAGATATTTTCTTATTTATTTCCATTTACATAAATAGTTTTTGAGGTAAAAATTTTGTTAAAAAATTTTTAACGTCAAAAACTCTCCTGATTAAGCTAATTTTGTTTAAAAAATTCTTTAACTTCAAAAACGATCCTTATACCTCATACAGTATGAATGCAGGCTAATTGTTTATAACCTCGTTTATAACATTTTTACACCAATAGGTCTTTTTTAAAAAATTATGTAATATATGTTTTCGTAGTGGATTTTAGCGTAGAATCAAATAGCGCTATAAGTTTCTTATAAAAATCGACTTCTCTTCATTTGTTTATAAAAAAAATTGTTAAAAAGATATTTTTTTAACATTCAACGACAAAAATTATCATTAGATCCCATGCCAGGATTCCAATAGTTACTTTTATTATATCTGCATTCCTTTGCCTATAGGCATCAATGGGTTAATGTAAAAAATCTTTTCTTTAAAGCATTTTTTCAGTTAGTAGAAAATAAATTTGACACAATAACGTTTGACTTTTGTTCCACTGAAGACCATAACAATACAAAATTAGAAATATAAGCCTGGATAAAGTGTGGAGGAAAAGATTTTTTACAATAAAAAAGAAAAATAATGTTTATAAAAAAGTTTAAAATATATAGTTAAACTGTTTATAATAATAATATATACGTATATAATTATTAAATGTATTAGAGGCGAGCAGTAAAGGTCATATCATCTTTTAAAATACACTGATATAGGCGCTACTTAGTTAGCGCAACGCACAAAAACTCGTTGCGCAAACTTCAAAAATTTTTTTCTCAAAAACATCAAAAAGCACCTCTTTAAAAATTCAACCACTTATTAAGGCAGGTTTAAATTTTGAGAAAATAATTTTTTATCCCACATGCACAAAAACGGCGCTTTCTGATAGCAGCCGACAGGGAGGAAAGTCATTCATTTCTTCGACCGTATGAAAATGGCGGCCGTGTTCTCCCAAGGGCAAGAAAATTAGCTGTTCACATGCATTTTTCTTGCCCAAGGGAGAAATCGGCCGCCATTTTCATACAAATCGAACAAGTGAATGACTTTTACTCCCTGTCGTCTGCTATCTGAAATCGCCGCTTTTGTGCATTAGGAATAAAAAATATCGTAAGTAACACGAGAATAAAGGCAGCCAATTTCTTTACAATGATTTTTGTGACACTCGTTCCGGTCTCGGGGCGCCCTCGACCTCCACTCGTGTCACAAAAATCACCGTAAAGAAATGGCTGCCTTTCTCCTCTTGTTGCTTAATATACTATTTTAGGATACTCCATGATGTCCTTAGCAAATTTTTTTAACAATAAAAAATTATTGTTTAAACAAATTATTAAAAATTTAATTTTTTTTAACTTTTTTTTAATATTATAAAAAATTGACATTTATTTATTTATTTTCAGTTTCCGATTTTTCAAATCTAAATATCTTGCAAAAAAAATTTTTTTTGCAAAACTGTTTGACACAGTTATTAAGCACCCCAAATACTACAAAATACAAACTTTATGAAAAATCGGTGATCCACCATTTACTTTTCGTATGGAACTGCTCTTGATATAAAAATTTTAATTTGTAGTATCAAATAAATAGTTATTTGTAGCAAATTCGAATTATTTAAGTCAAATAAATGGAATAATTGGATTTAATAAATATTGCTTTAAATCAATTAGGAAAATTACTTGATTCAGTAATGCATGGATTTTAATTCAAATAAATATTTATTTGCATCAATAAAATAATTTTTTTTAAATAACTAGGGGAGAGTGGGGCAAAGGCGCTAGGTTTACATTTATCGATGTATATTTTTTAAATTAAGTAATTATTAATTTATGCGGTCTTTAGTTTTTCATTATTCTAAAACTAATCAACAAGAAATTTTAATAGTTGTAATTTAGTATATTATAATTATAAATACATTATTTAATGAAATTTAAAAACAATGCAAAAAATGCCTTTGCCCCACATGCTGGGGCAGCGACGTTTTCGCTTATATTTCTAAAAGAAAGCATTTATAAGCATTAAAAAAATTAACAAGTGATATTTATTAGTATAATATTTACGAAACATAAGGTTAACAACATATTATTAAAAGAATTAAACTATTTAAATAAAAAATAAAAACTTTTAGTGATTTTAACCTCATATTGTGAATTAATACATAGAAAATTCGAATATTCAATTGTTTTTAACCAAATTATGTTCAATATTGCCTTTGCCCCACATAACAAACTTTTTTTTTACTTTAAATTAAAAATATTTAGATACAAAATTAAACTAAAACACCACGCCAGTTGTGTAGAGAAATATTTAATTTATTTACATGTTACGTTTTTAAAAATTAAATACTTAAACTTATGTTTTAAAAAATAAAAGTTTGTTCAGTAAAATTATCATTTTATTTTTGCAAAACAATTTTTTTGTTATATTTCTTAAAATATTTGATATTTTTAGGTTTTTCTTTTTTAATCAATTGGTCTGATTGCATTGCAACTTAATTTTTAATACCAATTGGAATAGACAGAAAATAAAGGAGATATTTTAAAAAACGTCTTTGCCCCGCATAGCGCCTTTGCCCCACTCCCCCCTAAATATTTATGGGACATTCTGCACGTCAACACGGACAGAGCTCTAAACAAAAATTGCTTTAATAGATTTAAACGTTCTACACGGAGAAAATGTAGAAGCACTGAGTACTTTTTCTCACAGCACTGATTACTGTGTGGATTAAAAAATTAACTTTGGAAGTTCTGAATGATATTCGCATAGTAGTCACTACTGTGAAGAAAGTAATCGCTACTTTTCTTGATAGTTATCAGAATTTTGGCGCACATTAGTAAACAACAAAGTATTCAAAGATGTGAATATAGTAATGAATGTTTTCCTCGAAGTAGTGAATGATTTTTTCACAGCTCTCAGTGCTGCGTAGAATTATTTTTCAATATTAAAAAACAAAAGAACGTTTGTTTTGAAATAGGAATAATACACTTTACAATTTGTTATCGTTTTCAAAGCTTTGAATTAAATGTTGTATCTTAAATCAAGGCTGCTGTTCTACCTTAAAATAAGACTCCTTTTTGTAATAAAATTTTTAAATTATTAAAATTATTATTTGGATTTGCTTATAATTTCAACTACAAATTTTAAATCTTTTCTACTGTTTTTTTAAATTGGTATACTATAGAAAATGACTGTATTAATTAAACTTATATCTATATTTTTTCTATTTACTTATTCGAACAATTAATATTCAATTGATATAAAATTTAAATATTACTTAATACATATTAAAGAATCTAAAAACTCTGAAATTTGTTCTATAAGTTAAAATTATAACTTGAAATAATTAAATTAATAAATATTTATCTTTTATGAATATAAAGACTAAATTTCATTATAAGACAGAAACAATAAGTTATGGACTTTCTTCTAAAATAATGGTTTTAAAAAACATTACTTATTTTATTAAATAACAGTTACATAACTCTGTCATTTTCTTTAAAAAGCTTATTGTTCTTAACCTTTAATAAAGCATAATTTTTATTAAATTATAAAAGTATCGTCAAACAAGAATACATATTAAATTTAAAATTTGTAGTTATTAATCATTTAATTGATTAAATTGGTCTCAAGCATTTGTTTGAAATTATCTATTTTATAATTCAAGGTTAAGCGTTCTTTTATCTCTACTAATTTTCAAAAATAATTTTACGCAGTACTGAGAGCTGTGAAGAAATAATTCACCACTTCGAGCAAAACATTCATTACTATATTCACATCTTTGAATGCTTTGTTGTTTACTAATGTGCGCCAAAATTCTGATAACTGTCAAGAAAAGTATCAATTACTTTCTTTACAGTAGTGACTACTATGCGAATATCATTCACAACTTCCAAAGTTAATTTTTTAATCCACACAGTAATCAGTGCTGTGAGAAAACGTACTGAGTGCTTCTTTATTTTCTCCGTGTAGGCATGATGACGCTGAATTAAAAGCCGTTTGATTTTTTAAAATCGCTTTAGAAGAACTCGAGATATCACTCTTTCCAGATGTTACGATCCTAATTATTATAATTTCCCTAATGTTTCCCGATTTTATTTTAAAATTAATTAAAATAGGGACGGGGTAGTAAATAACAAGAAATTACTTTAGTTGAACAAATGTATGTGTATTTTATGAAATAAGATAAAATTGATGAAAATAAGAGATGGACATAGGCTTTCTAATGTGAGTCTTAGAGTGGTTGATTGTTTACCTTGGGACAAAGGGTGATGCTAGACGTTCAGGTATAATGGCACTGGTCCTTTAACGGTTGACTAATTGGATGCAGTATTGTGTCTCGAGAAACAGGAACACTCTTTTCAAATGGCAAATTTGACTTCCAGATCGACTTTCCAAAATGCACTTTTGAAATATACGTAGAGTAAAGGACAACTACTGAAACTGGGTTTAGAGCACTGGGTCGTGAAGAACCACTTGTTATAGATAAAATTTTAAGACTGAAAACTGTTTGATGGTCTGGTCCTTCTTATACCCAAATTTCCCTGTGTATTTGAAGAAAGTGTACGTTTTGCCATGTATTTGAAGAATCGTTCGCTTTGCCATGCATTTGAAGAATTGTTCGCTTTGCCATGCATTTGGAGAATCGTTCGCTTTTCCATGTATTTGGAGAAACCCTTTGTTGCGGGAACACTTGTGGTGACTCACTATTAGATCGCACGTGTCCATTGCTTATTATTCATACGTTATTTTATAATTTTGTTATTTCTATTAATTGTTTATAATTTTGTTGTTGTTACAATTCGTTATTTATAAGTTGTTACAATTTGTTAATTTTAAAGTTATTTATTATTACAATTTTGTTGTTGTTGATATTTATTATTATAATTCTATTATTTAATATTTATTATTGCAATTTATTATTGTTTATTATTATTTGTTAAAGTTTGTTGTTATATTTGTTATATTTAACTATTTATTATATTTTGTTATTATTTGCTAATAGTTATTATTACAATTTATTATTGTTTACGTTTATTATTACAATTTATTATTGTTTATTATTATTTCTTAAAGATTGTTGTTAAGATTGTTATATTTAACTTATTTATTATTGTTTATTATTGTTTGTTATTATTTGTTAATATTATTACAATTTATTATTGATTATTATTAATATTTATAGTTATTATTTATATAATAATATGTAAATAATAATTTTGTTATTAACTTTTATTATGATTATTACTATTATTATTAATTATTATTATTATTGTTATTAATTATCATAATTACTATTATTATTATTATTAATTATTAAGATTAATTATTATTCTACATATTATTATTGAAAATAGGTTACGGTGACGTAACACCTCCCCCTTCGAAAATTTGGAAATTGGAAAATGAAATTGATCGATTTCCAAATTCAACTTGTTAGAATCGACGTGTTATGTTATTTGTTACAATGTTTTTGAATTAATTTTTAGAAATTACAATTAATGAATTAAATTGTTATTTACAGTTTAAAATTATTTAGATATTTAATGTGAATAAAATTTGGTTGGTTAATTTTTGAAAATTGACTTGTTTTTGTTTTTTTTTTTATTTTCACTGGTTTTAATTGAATCTTTATAATGTTTATTATTCTTATTATTAATGCACCTATCAGCCGTATGGTACCTCATAAAGCACCTTTGGCAAGAATTACTTCATTTAACCAACTGAATTTTATCACTCCAACTATCTATATCTTCTTTTTTTTCGTTAAAATCAAATTTTTCTTTCAAACGTATTAACATAATTTCTGCCAATTTTCTTTTAGTCTCTTTGTTATTTTGTAGTTTTTCGATATTGACTTCTATGTAATTTTTGTCATGTTGTATAGACAAGGTTGCAATATTTTCAGAAATTTGTTCATATGGTTTTGCATAATTGGGGTATGAAAATGAAAATTGAACAGCCAAATTTTCTAAGGTTGTGATTGGATTCATTTTTCCTAAAAGAATATAAAATCAATTATGTAACTGTTAAAAAAAAAATTTTATATATATATATATTTTTTTGTTATTTGTATTATTTATCATGCTATTAATTTTATTAATTTGTTTATTTTAATTGTCCTCATAAATAATTGTGTCAGAGTCGGAGTCATAGTCTGTTGGTTTGTCAGAATACCTAGGGTCATAATATAGCCGAACGTCTTTAAATTCCTTAACTTTTTCTTTTTCATTTTCTAAAATATTTAATGTACACTCCTTGCACTCGTTTGCTCTTTGCATACTATTATATAAAATAATTCTACAATCCATACATTCCGTTATTGTCTCTACATTTCCTAAATATAAATGTTGCATTGATTCTACAGTGTAAGTTAACATTTCTGTGTCATCTAATTTTAAAAGACAGTCTTGACAAATGATTTTTTCATCTGAAAATCCTATTACATCAAAATAAACTCTTTTTACGCACGCATAACGTTTTAATAGTTCTTTTATTAAATATACTTTTTTTATTTCGTTTTCACATTCTGAAGCTTCCAATGGTTGGTTGTCTATTGGTAGCATCTTTTGAAAAAGAAAAAGAAAAAAATTTTAAATTAATTTATTATTTGAAGATTTTTTTATTTCATGCTTTTTCTATTGTCTACTGTATTTTACATGCGTGTTTATACATTATTTTATTTTTCAAAAAGTTTTAACATGCAACTAAAAAAATATTTATCTGTCTCTACTAAGTTACTTCCTATTTTGTCTTTGGGAAGAAGTGAAAGTTAGTCCTGTTCTCATTATCATGTCTTCTTTTGATACTCTAGTTTTGACAAATATTAAGGGTTATGCAAATGTGTATACTTTTCTAGTGTCGTCTGTGGTCTGTCTGTGGTGGGGTTTTCTTTTGACAAAAAGGTACAGGGTGTAAGATCAGGTGAATTTTATGCATCAGTTCAGTTTCTTTTTGAGTTTTGGATAGAAAAGTTCGAAATGTCTTCTAGTAATTTTGAAAATACTATAGAAAATGTGGATTCATTTCCGGATCCTATTGAATTTTTTAATACAGCTTTAGGGACCGAAGATTGGAATGTAGATTCAAATAGTGCGGAAAATGTTGATGTTGAAATTAATACAGAAATGGATAATCAAAGTTTAGAAGAAATTGATAATGTTTTAGGAAAAGAAGATGTTGTTGTGACTAATGAAGAAGAATTGAACAATGTTTTAAGTGAAAAGTTAGATGTGTCTTTAGAAAGAAATTATGAAATTACGATTTTAAATGAAAAAAGTGATGTTGTGCATTTAGAACCTGTTTTTGTGAAGAATATTTGGGAAAAAAGAAAATGTAAAGAGAGTTTTTTTATAAAATTTGATAAATTATTGATTAGTGGACCCAACTGGTGGAATACTTTTCCGATTAATCAACAAAATGAGTTAAGAAGAACTGTTGTGGATTTGATAAAAGAAGATAATTTAAAAGGGGTTTATCAGATGGATAATACTTTTTTTATAGTAAAAAGACGTCGTCTTGAAGTTGTAAGTAAAAAGAAAATTTTTAATTTTTGTATATATTTTATATTACACATTTATGAACATGTATGTATATATATGAAAATATGCATTTTGTTTTTAGGTGGACAGACATTTGATTAAATTTGAAACACATACGAAAATAAGTTTACAACGACATTCTTTCTTTAGGCTTGATAATGGTTTAAAAGTAAGATTTCCTTGTTCTTGGGCGGATAATAAAAGAATTACTAGAGCAGGATGGGTCGAAAAAATAAAAGGTTTTATTAAACAAAATGGAGGAGTGATTAATGAACCTTTTATTTTAAACAATAGAAGATATAAGATATTTTTACCTTCTGAAAGTAAAGAAAAGTTTGCTTTTTTAAAAAGGGTAAGTGCTTTATGTTTGTGTTGTTTCTAATATTATGCAAAGAAAAAGAGGAGAGAGAGAGAAGAAAAAAAAAATTTATAATTTGTATTTGTGTTTCAGATTTATTATACTGGGGATTCATGTAAAGTTATGCATTCTAGTGGTGACATATTTTGCAATGAAATGTGTTGGTGAGTTTTGTATATTCTAGTATGTTGTATTTTTATTAAGGAATAAGATTTTAGTCCTATTAAAAGAATTATTAAAATTAATAACGATAGTAAAAGATAATTTAGAAATAATTGATATTCTGTTATTGATAATATGTAATTTTTGTTAGATTCTTGTATTTGTGTTATTAATATTAATTTTTCTTCTATTTCAGATGCTGGGATAGATGTGTTTTTTGAATACTCTATTAATTTTTTAAATATTGAATTTGGATTTTCGATTAACTTAAATAGTGTAGGATAAGATTCTTTAAGAAAATTTTGATTTTTTAATGTAGGTATGTAAAAAGAAGTGTGTTGAGTGTTTTTACTTATGTTAGGAAAAATATAGTTATTTGTTTCAATGATACATTCAGGTTCTGTTTGCAAAATACCATTATTTTGAATAACACTTTGAGATGTTATTTTGTTAGGACAATGAATATTAATGTTAATAGGGTAAAAATTTGAATAAAGCCATGCTTGAGAATATTCAAGAATAATCCAATTAGTATTTTTGTTCAATTGTAAATAAAATGTGCAAGTGTGTGTTTGTTTGTTAAAAAATAAAGCGATCTCACAGATGAAATTTTTTATTGTTAATTTAATATCAGGCATGTTAAGGCAAAGTTTACCACTTGTTGTGTTATGACATGAAGAAAAGTTACTAATATGAAAATATGTTTGATTGTTTATACTAATAGCAATATATTGTGTTTTATATTTTATGTGTGTAGATATACTAGAATTTGTATTGAATTTGTAAAATGAAGGAATTGAATGTAATTTGTATATATTATATTGTTGTTTTGAAATAATAGGTATTGTAAATGAGAAATATAATTTGTTTTTGAAAATAAATTGTGTAATTATTGAATTTTTAAGCAAATCTGATATTGTAATGTTGTTTTGAATGCAATTTTTAAGATTTTCTCGTGGTATAGATTTTAGTAATGTAGGATGCCATTGGTTATTGTTAGAATGTGTTATGATGTTTATTAGAGTTTGCGTATAGTAAATATATTCATATATAGGTTTTCTTAATTCTTTTGTCCATAATTTTACGAATGATTCGTAATTCTTTTTAAATTGACTTGGAAAATTATAAAACAAATTTGTATAACTTTTTACTGTTCCATTAATATGACTAATTTTAATAATATCATTAGAGAATTCTATCGGAAAAATGTCTATATCTTTTTGTATCCAAAATGACATTGGATCCAAATAGTTTGTTTTCTTAATAATTTCTTGAAAATTTTGTTTATTTTTGTCTGTATTACTGATATTATCAAGAATGTTTTCAATTTCTATTAGAGTTTTTTGCAATATAAATTCTTTACTTTTGATTTGTTCTGTTATGTGGTCATTTGAACATTTATTTGTGCATTGTGTAGTTATTTCTTTAAACAAATTTGTTAATAACTTTCCAAATTCTAATATATCGTTTATATTTACATAGCTAATCAGATGATTTTTATTAGTTGGGAAGATGATATCTGTGACTGATTCAAAAATGATATTGGGTTCATTGGGTAAGAATATTTGTGTGTATGAGTGTGATGGTTTGCAAAATATGGTGCAGAATATAAAAACTACTAACTTTATCCACATTATGTTGATTTCTTGGTTATCTAAGAAAGAGGAAAAGTCAAGAAAGAGAGATAGAAAAGAGAAAAGAGAGAAGAGAGAAGAGAAAACAAAATTTATTAATACTTCTTTCTTTGTATG